GCGAGGGGAGCCCCCGGGGGGGGGGGCGGGAGCCGGTGGGGACGGGAGGCTAGCGCGTGTCCTGCCGAGGGGAGCGCGGGGACCGGCCTGGAATGTTCACCCGCTCCGCCGGCACGTTCGACCCCTTCCCGCGCGCGGCTGGGGCTCTGGATGCCGTCCGCTCCGCGCTCCCGCCGCTCACTGCGCCCGAAGCTCTTCCCGAAAGGGAAGTTTCGCACCTGCAGTCTTCCGCGACTGCCGCCGCCCGCCGAGGCCTCAGTTTCGGCTGAGCAACCTGCTCGTTCGTGTGTGCCAGTGCCCAGACGGCCTGTCCTCCCGGACCCAGCTCGCGTCCCTCCTAAATTCTTTCTGTCCAGGGAGGAAGTGCAATCCCCTGGGGACTGTGCGGCGGAGAGGCTCCCTCTCCCACGCGGAGATCAGCTTTCGTCCTACCCCCCACCCCTATGGTCACTGAGTCCCTTCCTGGGCTGGCCTGTGCTGAACACACAGGCGTCTGGTGTCAAGGTCTTGCCTGTCTGGAGGAGTGACAGGGTCACAACATGCGACACAAGAGAGCCCCAGAGGACCCAAGGACAAGGGATGAGGCTGCAGGTGGAGACTCCGGAAGGGGGTGGAGGAGAAGCATAAAGTGGATGGAAAGCAGAGCAGGGGACCTGCTCACAGGCACTCAGCCAGGCTTAGGTTTCTCGTCCCTTTGTCATGCCTTTGTCCCCATGGGTTACTGTTTCCCGAACTGTCACTTTGTTACCTCTCTCCCTGCACTGTTACTTTGTTACCTGTCTCCCTCAGGGCAAAGGTGCAGTTTCAGTTTTTTTTTTTTGTTGTTGTTGAGAGGTTCTTGCCAGAAAGACAGAAAGCGAGAAATCACCCCCCAGGGGGGATGGCCACACCGCAATCCCTTCTCCATTCTCCTCTCGGGATCTTGGGCACGCACGCACACACGCGCCTGGTGTGTTTAAGTCACTAGGTCTGGACTCGAACTGCGGTCAACTACATGGGAGTCCAGCGACATAGCCATTACGCTAACTGCTGGTCCCCAGTGTCAGCTTTTAGTAGCACCTGGAAGGGATGGACAGGTCAGTCCAGCAAAGAGCAGGGGCAGGCCATGTTCCCTGCGCCACTGAACAGCAACAGCACCCCTGGTTACTCAGCGCCCCCAGGTCGCCCTTAGACTCCAGTTTACTTTGGCAAGGTCTTTCTGTTCCCCAGAGCTGGTGTTCCTCTGGCGGCAGCTGCAGGTCCTGCAGCAGGCAGGACCCCAACCACCCTGGCCCTCACTGGGCTTAGAGTGGGAGGACTCATTGGTAAGTCTAGGCTGCTGGGAACTCAGGAAAGCTCCTGACAGAAAAGGACCGAGTGGAAGGCTTGGAGCGAATGAGCCAGAGAGTGAGGGCCTGCCACTCGGGGAGGGCGCAGAGATGGGCAGAGGCCTAGGGAGGGGCTTTCATTACAGGGACAGGGGACATGGTGCAGTGTCAGAGCCGTCACCTGGGATGGCCAATGGAGGTGGTGACTTCTGAGTGACGGAGGTGGGCAGGGCCCATGGACAGCACTGCCCGGAAGGTTGGCTGAGGGGCAGAAGAGAGCTGGGGGCTTGCAGAGAGAGCTGGGGTGATTTCCACAGGGAGAAAGGTCGCTAGAAGGGGCGGGTCTCAGGGGAGTCCCAGTGCCCGCTGTGCAGCCACACTCACCTGAATCCAGTCGGTGTGCTGTCCAGGCCAGCTCAGTGTGCTCACATTACAGGCGAGGTATTGCCCACTTGCCAGGCCCTGCCCCAAGAATTTCTCACCCACGGAGGTGGGGTTGGGGGCGGGGGCCAGCAGGAGTCCACGTCCCTCAGAGGCTCTGATGCTGCTGATTGGGGTCTCACTTTGAGAGCCTCAGTTCAGTCTCGGTTGGGAGGAAAAACGCTGACTCTGGGTCCCAGCCTACTCCCCTGAGAAGCAGGGTAATGAGCATGCGCACTTCCGTGAAATGGACTGGGCTGCCCGCCCCTGACACCTGCGGGAGCCTGGAAGGGGACTGGTGGAGAGCGCTGTGCATACTGAAGGCACTGGCTCAGGTGGCAGACTGGCCAGCTCGCTCTCTCCTGCTACCTTTGGGAGAACGCACCTTACCCCCTGGCGGCCAGGTGTGCACTTAGAACCAGGCTCTGAACAAAGCCCCACTCCTGCACCTGCACGAGGCGTGTGCACGGTGCGGGGCAGCCAGCCCTGCCCTGGCCTGTGCTTAGCCCCTCCTCTCCCGGTTCCTGCTCTGACCTGCAGGGTGGGGGTCTGTGTGCCCCTGCACAGGAGCCCACACACATCTCAGACTGCCAACAGTGCTGCAGACAGCTCCAGCCCTGCTGCACCCAGGTCTCAGGATGTACCAGGTGGTGTGGCCGCCCTGGACTGGCAATGCCTAGACAGGGCATTCCGGAGAAGACGGCGCAGTCTTGGCGAGGGGTCCCCTTGGCCAAGAGCGAAATGTGGCCCTCCTAGCCCCAGGCCCAGGCCCAGGACAGGCCTTGAGTGTCTGGAAATGTGTCAGAGCACAAGGTTGCTCCAGGCAGGGTCGTGGTGGCTGTTGTGGTCCCCAGAGACATTGCCTTTAGAGAGGACACAGGGTGTTCCTCTGAGGCTGCCTCCATGGCTGGGTCTCCGCAAGACCACAGGCTCCGCGGGAGGATGCGGGCTTCCTTTTCTGCTGAAGCACACCAGAGCCTTCTCCTAGACCCCGAAGTGGTCACCCCTGCTCTGCTCCACACATGCGTTCTGGGGAGAGCCCAGGCCGGAGCTCACTGAGCTGCGAGAACCCATGGCAGGCTGCACGCCTGGGCTAATTTGCACGAGGATTTATTACAGCTGGACAGTCTTGAGAGGGCAACGGGGAGGGAGGCAAAGGCAGTTGGGAGGGAGGCTGGGAGGGAGGCTGGGAAGGGGGCTGGGAAGGGGGCTGGGAGGGAGATGGAGAGGGTGATGAGGGACCCGCTTGCTCTGCCTGCCCCTCTTCGTTTTGGTTTATCGTGGGGTGTGGAGGACAGGCAAAGTTCAGGAAGATGTCCTCCAGGGAGACCTGGCTGACGGAGTAATCGTCCAACGCATACGTCCCCCTGGCTTGCTCCAGGGTGCCGAACACCTGCCGGAAGGGAGAGGCCACCTGGACAGCTCCAGGACACGTGTGCACCAGGGGTGGGAGTGCGGGTGGGCATCAGAGGGTGGGAACTGGGCCGGCCTCTGTGGCGGTGACAGGTCAGGCCCATGGAGCTTAGCTGTCTGCTCGCAGGGTGGGGCAGCACCAGAAGGGCAGGGGCCCACTAGGTCCCCGCCTTGCCGTGTGACCCGTCTCTGGGCCGGCTCTCCTTCTGTGAAATGAGGGCTGGGAGGGGCTGACCTCGGTCCCTTCTACACAGCTACCTCACATTACGAAACCCGTGTGCACTGTGGCTGTGGAGTTGGGAACTGCGGAGCACTGAATGCCACTTACAGGAGACACCAAGCCCAGGAAGCAGTGGTGTTGGAGGTGCACTCTCACCTTGGCCCAGCTGAGGTCACGGCTGGGCAGGTGGTAGTGGACCATGCCTTGGTGCTCGTCTTCCAGGACGCTGCCTGCCCCGAGGAGAGACCAGGTTCCCGTGAGGGCTGGGCTGGACGGCCAGACCAC